GAAAAGGAAGGTATTATTAACTCTCCCGCGCCCGCTGTTATAAACGGACATAAATATAAGTGAAAGTGAAAAGACGAATATAACTGCCTAGGATTCTCCAGCACGCTTGGACCTAGGCAAGCTTGTGCGTGCCCTAAAAAATAAAAAAATAAATAAAATACGGGCACAAAACAAGAAGACATGAGAAAACGAAATGATGGTGAAAATGCATATTAGTCTCCTAATTTCACTTCGAAACCAGAGTTTGTTTTGCCTATGCGTTTGCATTAATTGAGTTCTTGTGGGAATCTTTTCTTACATTATGTGACTGAAGGTTAAAGCGAAATACAACAGAAAGTTAAGGGCAAGAAAAGTTGGCTCAAAGTAGGAAAATGTTCTCAGTAGAGATTGAGCTTTCATTTGTACATTTTTAAAGGCGTTTAAGCTTTTTAGATGCCGAAACAATCGTTTCTACAAGTAGTAGATATAATAAGAATTCAACTCAAATGCTCTTAGCAATAACAGGTTTTCAAAAAACGGAAAGAAATTGCTGTAGAAGCAACCTTGCATGATGTGCTTGTACAAAATCCCGACAGAGGGCGCTGTTGCCCGTTCAATGACAGAGGACGCTCCCTAGGAACGACTTCCCTTGCTATTTCTCAGATTTTTTGAATAATGCGCACGTTGAAAAATTGACTCCGTTTTAATTATTGTTATGTATTTCTTTGGTTATCTCTTTATGTGTTTGTACATATTTTTAAATTTATGTTTCATTCTTAATAACTCGATTAGTTAATTTTTAGTTTTCCTAAAGAATTTATATATATTTTAATGAAATATTTCAAGACGTTTCTAATTTTAAAAACACCCACTACTGGCATGTGCAAAATTTGAAATTATACATGAATAAGGCTATACAGCATTTATGCCAATGTATTTTTTAAATAGTTTTATTATGAAGTATTTCTCTCAGGGTTTTTTGTTTGTTTTTTTTTGGTTTAACCCTTAGAGTCTATTTATTTCAGGCTAATCAATGATATACCAAAAAAAAGAAATGAAAAATCTGTTTAAAGCATTTGAAAAAAATTAAGACCTTTCCAAATGCTTTTCATTTGGGGTAAGAATGATCTTTGGATTTAAAAAAAGATAATGGAGGTATTGATTTGAAAGTGAGAAAGACAATTATTCCCATTAATAAAACTGTGTCCAGAGAATCTGAATTTCCAAATCTATCATCTTTATCTTGCAAACTATTGATCTGGGACTGGTGGTAGGACTGGAAAGGGTGGAAAGGGAGGGTAAAACCCGTTTCCAGTCCCACCACACAATAAAATGAGGAAGAATATCCAAACCAGCTCTGGGGGCCAAGAAAATAAATCTTTGCTCGTGTTTCTAGTGCAAAATCTGAATAGATTTTGTATAATTTAAGGTGTTAGTATTAAAGCAGAGGAAAGGAGGAAGGAAGGAAGGAAGGAAGGAAGGAAGGTAAATCATTAGAGGTCATGGTGTGAAGAAAACAAACAGGATCATGACAGAAAGAAAGAAGGGAGAGAGAGAAGGAAGGAAGGAAGGAAGGAAGGAGGGAAGGAAGGAGGGAAGGAGGGAGGGAAGAAAGGAGGGAGGGAGGGAAGGAGGGAGGGAGGGAGGACAGAAAGGCAAAGCATAAACATTAAAACTGGACACTAAGGTAGGGCTTATTTCTAAAGTTCCTTTTGAAGCACTTCTCTGTGTTCCTTTCATTTCACCTATCATTTAAAAAATTTCAACTTAAAATCTGCTGAATTGTTCGTTCTGCGCTATATGGAGCATCCCTGGGTTTTTCTGGAGCCGGTGTCCACCGCGGGTGTCCGGAGCCCTCTCCTCGGGCCGTCCCTGCTCCAGCGCGGCCGCGACCGCAGTCCTGAGACTTACAGACGGTCGCCCTTTGCAGATTCATCCTTATCAGGTTTAATAACTTCCACCCCAAATTGCCCTGGTCCCTCCTCATTCCCTCCTGTCATTTACTTTCTGCCCCAGGGGCGGGGATCCTCCACTGGACTTCCCTTCTGGCTGTGGGGATCCTTCCGCACCCTGAAAGGGAATAGGAAAAAAAAAATAGAGGGGGTGGGAAAGACGGGAATGAGGTGAATCTTCACCTGTGATGAAATTCAGAGTCCCTGTGCCTTAAAGGGCTCCCATGCTCCAGGTATGGGGAACTTCGTTGTTATCGTTGTCCTTATTAAGAAAAGAAAGAAAGAAAAAAAAAAACTATACAAATCACCTTACTAGGAAAAAATACATCAAAACAAACAAAAACCCACAAACCCCCAAATATTTTTCAGGATGCCTTAAAAGAGCATTCTGCTCAAACCTTCCAGAGGGTTAGGTGACTGTTTTTGATTCTCCGTGGTTAAAACCACTTAAAAGTTAGTTATAGACAAACAGCTGTAAATGGAAAATGTACTGTCTCCTTTCCGCAAAGAAGGCTCCAAATTCACTCATTGTGTAGACGGGTGCACGTTCTTATGTTGCTCCCAAGATCTGAAAAAAAGAAAAAAAATAACTTCATAAAATGGAGACTCCAGCCAAGAAAAAAAAAAAATGGCTCATGGGATCTGTTGAAAATACAAACAACCGATAAAATGACAAACAGTGCGGACTGAGGTGTTCATACAGTATTTAAGTTACCCGTTGTGTTCATCGAAATGACCAAAAACTGTTAGAAACGGTCACTCGGTGAGCTGGCTTTTTGTTCTACAGTGACAGAGGTACAGTTTTTTTTTTAAAAAAGTTACATAGCCATCCACACAGAGAGATCACCCTTAAAATCCCCAAATCCAGCTTTAAAAATCCCCTCCTGCGAAACATAGAGGAATAGGAGCTTTTGTGTTTAAAAATCTCACTAATGGTCTCCCTTTTAAAATCTAGATAGAAAAATGGGGGGGGGGGGGGTTGTTGGTCCCCTGGTTTCTCATTATGAATTTTAAAGTCTTCCGTTAGTGGCTACCATGATTCATCATTTTCAATAGAGAGGCTTTTAAAATGTGTATCTTTATATTAATCACACGAATCAACCATCTTTTCTCCTTTAAAATGCATGGGTAGCGTCTGTGGACTGCGTGACCCAGGGGGTGCTTACATAACCAAATGTGGGCATCTGGGTGTAAACCCGTGTTTATGATTTTTATAATATATATATCTGTCTGTGGGCTGCATCTAACTCCTGAGTGTGTAATCATGTCTCTCCTCTCTGCTGAGGCTGGCTCGTCCGGCCTATTGTTTGAGGCAGCAGATATAAGTTGCGATGGGAGAGGAGCGTCGGATTTGGTGTGTATCCCCCATTTCCAATTATAGATGGATCATTACAGACAGCGGAGTCCTGAGAAGCCAGACATCTGCTCCTCACATGAATGCACTCACCTCCTAGAGACCAGGCTGCCATCATGCTCTGGAAGCTCGTGGAGAATGTCAAGTACGAAGATATCTATGAGGTGAGCGGGCACCCCGGGTGCACCTTAGACTTTTTGCAGATAGAGAATTTGAGCTTCTTGACGCCCCAACTGATATATTTGTGTTGTGTGTGTTTTTTTAAAAAAAGCTGTTTTCCTCGCAGATTTCCGGTCGGTTTTCTCAGCTTTCTCTTAACTTTTAGAAAAGCTGGCTGGGGGAGACTTCGCTATTCTGAGAAGGGACTTGAAGGTTGAAATCTGGCTAACTTAGAAGATTTCTCTTTTTTCTTCTGTTCTTTTTCTTTCTCTCTTCCTCGCCCCCTAAGACTCCTCCGATGGGGAAGGTGGGCAGGGAAGACGGAGGCTGCTGAAGGCAGGGGCAGCCCCGGTCAGGAGTGCGGGCGAGGATGAGGTTTTCAAGTCTCATTGGACTCGGGCTTTAAGTTATTTTTAATTTTCAAATAAAATTTCTGAAACCGACCATCAGCGGATCCAAACAGAGGACGGGAAAGAGAAAGAGGGAGGTAGATAGATGGGTGTCGCTGGAGCCCTCGCCAAGGAGTCGTCACCGTTATTTTTTTCTCTTTTCTCGGGTGTTGCTTCTCTGAGGGGCAGAGCGCCCACACCACCCCACGTCTGGGCGTTTTTGGCGGATTTGCGGCGGCTGCTCAGTGCGCGCGGCTCCCGGGCGC